AAACTGAGAAGGAAGATCCTCGAAATTGTCAAAATCATAAAATAAAGATTTTTGAGGATTTTTCTGCTCAGTTGACTCATTCTGCATGCATATAAGTGGTATACTATTAGAAATCAGACACTCTGTTTATAAAAGAATATCATCCTATTTATTTTTATTTTTGAAATTTAATACATTTCTAGAACATCAATAGTATATATGCAAAAAAATCGTCTCAATATTTTCATCGACAAAAATATCTAGTTGCAATAAATTCTGTGAGGAATTGCGTTGCGTATCCACTTGGTGATAATATTCATACACTGATCGTCAATTCTGGCACATTTGGTCTACGAGATTATGTAAAAAGACAGTCGCGTCCAGTAGAGGAAAAAAATCACTATTTGGGCAACAAATCTATGAAAATATAACTGCAATACTTTAATAATAATAAATACATAAAAGTAGTCTAATATAAGTTTCACAGATTTGTTACTCCAGTATAAAAAATTTATCACTCACCAACCCGATGCGCAACAACGGAGTTAATCTGCAACGTAGCTACGATGATTCTGTAACATACAAAGAGAATTTAAATTATAGCAGCGCTCGAAACAATAGATGCTTTAAAAATTTTTACGTATATCGAATCTATTTATTTTTCAATTAGATATTTATTAAAATAATTAATAATTAATAATTAATAAATAATTTTCAAAAATAATTTTCAAAAAAGATCTTTATAGAAGTAAATTGATATTAAACTTTAAATTATTTTTCTTTCCCAAACTATAAATTTTAAATTATCGAAATTCAGTGACCCAAATTAATGAGAAAAGAAATCATTTCATCTTGACAAAAAAATGTATGCTTACCGCAAGGTTGCTCCGCCGATGCCCGATGCCTCTCCTAAGCCTCCTCCTCCTCTCAAGGTGTCGGGTCGCCGGATGTCCTCGCAGCACAGGACACTCGCGAAAAACACTCGCGAATTATTATAATCGCGCGCGGACTAATTTTTGCTGCCCGTGAAAATATCAAGTTCCGTCGGTCCAGTCAGCACCCGAGTCGGTGAGCTTTTCGGGACACACGGTAACTCTTCAAGCAAAGGCTAGGACCGAAGCGGAAGAAGACGAATCGACTGACTTGAATCCGACGTCTCTTGTTTCTTAGAAATTACGTTTAAAATTGACTCAACCATCGCATAGCCAACGGTTCAGGTCGAATCACCAGGGCGGATACCATACACGTGATATCAAAAGTCACCCGGGCTATCGAGAAGGCTGGTAGATGTGACGAGAGAGAAGGTACCCACCGCCGATGCCTAACAATCTAGACAATCGGACAACTGGGATCCAGCCTCTCGGCACACGCGATAACCGCCCGAACTAAGCTCTGATCGAGTCAGATTAAACGCGATTTGTTTAAGAAGGGAAAGAATACGATATTAAGGAAAGGGAAATAAAGGCCGTTGGCGATTAAATAATCGCACGCGACACATAGGAGCCCTTTCACGACTCGTGGCAATGCTGTATCGAAAATAAGAAATCAAGAGAATAAGCGACGAAAGCAAGTCAGCCGATTGAAATCTTACCGATTGGGACCGAACCACTTGTCGAAGACAGAGCGTGTTCTCAATTAGCCGTTTAATGCAGATTGCAACTGTGCGAAACACAACACATCAAGCGGTAGCGAGTGCGTGTAACATTCACAGCCGGCATCACCAGTGCCGCGGCGCACGTGGCGTGAAGACGTAGCCGACTACGCCTCAATGAG